ACCTACCTACCTACCTACCTACCTACCTACCTACCTACCTACCTACCTACCTACCTACCTACCTACCTACCTACCTACCTACCTACAATTTCAATCGTCGCAAACACAGTCAGACAAACATTAGACTAATTTGAAATATTTCGACACAACATACATATCGGAATTTGGGATTCGAACCCAAGAACACCTTGTGAAACAGGTTGTGAAATCGGCCCAATAAATATTAGGCTACTGACTACGGCAGCTATGCTAAAGAAATATTGGAAGTATTGAAAGAAGAAAACGATATTACAGCCGATAGATGACATCAATTATTTATTAATTGCCATTAAAAACAAATATATAAAACGCTATAAAGATTTCGTTTATAACGATAAATAATTCCTACATGGAGCTTCTATTGAATTCATGCTTTTTTGCATATTTTAATGTCCAATTTCATGTGTTGCTATTATAATAATACTACTTAACAACAGATGGAGCTTATTACAATTTTGTAAGCATATTATTACGCATCTTTAGGAAACTTGAAAACTGGGATAGAAGACAAAACGAAGGAAATGGGTAAAGAGACAAAAAAAAAAATGTTGTTCACTATGTTTTGTCCGTATATTCTTCATTGTTTTTACTCGATCTCGACTTTGAATTTAAGTTTACGACACGGTTCGTCACATCACGTGTTCCATAATTTTAGGGTTCCGAGTTATAATAGCATAGATGGTTCAGCCAAAAAAAAAAAAAAAGGAACACAACAATGTCATTTTATTTATTATTTTAATAATAACATGTTATTTCATCATTGTAAGATATTACTTTATTTCAACGAAAAAATATTACATTACACAAAATAATAATAATGCAGTCCGCAGTCCAACTCAAGTGGTGACGAGACAGGCACAGCTCGTCCAGTGCTAGCTGTAGTGAGATGCAGTTAGCTGCGAGTGAGGTACTCGTCGGCGACGGCGCGCCAATCTGTGTCGTCGCCGTCAGGTTGCGGCGGGGACTTGCGCAGGCGACGCAGCAGCTGCCAGCCGCCGGCGCGCGCGCTGCATGTCACGTACGTGTTGGCGGGGTCCTGCTTCAGCGTGTACGCGCCCAGCACCAGGCTCTGCACCAGCCGCGCAGATACAAGCGTCTACAAATGTATGTATTGCCGATTACCAACCGTTTTACTTACTTACACCTTAGCATCAGGCGTGACATGACATATGATACACAAGTATAACTTTTAGAAAAAAAAAAAAATTACCTTGAGCAGGCGGTACTCGTGGTCGGGCAGCCGGCGCGTGACGGTGTAGCCGGCCAGCAGCACGCCGGCGCTGCGCGGCTGTCCCGTCAGCAGCATGAGGTAGGTCATGGCGATGGCCAGCTCGAACACGTAGTACGACTCCTGCACGTCGCCGAAGTCGATGATGCCCGCGATGCGGTACTCGCTGTTGCTGTCAAACATAGCATAACTATCTGTTATACTGTTGGTGACTACACTACAACAACTGCACACACCTCGCCATAGAATAGTCTTATTTGAGTAGGACTTGTTAACAACGAAGTATATACTGATCGGGTTACATCAAAATAAGATAAGATTTTTTGTTTATTTTAGTTTCCACCCGAAAATTAATACAAATGAGAGCTGTTGAGGCATCATGATACCACTTCCATTGCACTTTTGCTGAATTTGGTGTTCGGCAGCCAAAACTTAGTATCCCTGTGGCGAGGATAGGTAGGTAGGATGAAAGAAGCGAGGAGATACATATGTAAATACCTGGGCTGCGGCTTGCGGTCCACCAGCACATTCTGCTCGTTGATGTCGCCATGGATGACGCCGCGCTCCAACTCGCCCAGCTGCGGCACCACCGCGTACTTGAACTCCTCGATCACCTGCGACACCGCGCACCTCCACACTTTAATATTCCACTACGCGTATGTGTTTTATCACGTGCATATTCTACCTCTCGCTACAATAACATTTATAACTAACGTGTGTTTACCTCCTCGACAAGATCCAGGTTATCGGGATCCTCGATGACGTACTTGAACTTCTCGAGCTCCGGGACCTGCGACAGCATCCAGATGTGTTCGCGCCCCGCTAGCCCCGAGTGAGTGAAGTTCTGCAAGATACAGTGCTGTTACTGACCCCAGCCACCAAGTATTCGCTATGATTTACAATTTAAGCTAGTCTTTTCCAAAGTGGGCGATAACGCCCCCTTGCAGGCGCTGCAGGTCTCGAGTTGCGGGTTATAGTAAAAGTTTCGTTTAAAATTGTCCGAAAATATACATATATAGGCCACAATAATTAATTAATTTAATTTGAAGTTAAAGTGGTTTTAGATATGTGAAAATGTGGGGGCGCTAAAAAAAAATATATATTTCTTCTCAAAGTGGGCAGTAGACAAAATAAGTTTAGGAAGCACTGCATTAAGCAGTGCCGAGTGAGGGCAACCGGTGTTTGATATTGAGCCGATCGGTCTACCTATCAATTGGTTCAATGGATTTTTTTTTGTTCTCCGAATGACGAAGACCTTGAATTTTATGAACAGACATGTTGAATAATTATTCATTCTAATAGTGTTTAATAAATCAAATGAAAATATATGATCAATCAATCTGCCAAATCTATATCACAAATATTTCATCTGTACATCAGCTGCAGCAGCAGCAGCAGCAGCAGCAGCAGCAGCAGCAGTGACGTCACGGTTAGTTCACATTCATGTCTTACAATTTTTTTTTTCTTGTAATACAAATAACTAATAGCTTTTAAGATGTTAAACAATGTGCGATAAAAATAGACTTATCAGCTTCTCTGAATCTGTAACTGAATATGTTTATCAGATGTAATCATAATAGTATAGATAAAACATGAGACAGCAACGCGCACAATCTCAGATAATTGTTGAAGCAACGCTTACAACGAGCGAAACGCACCTTCTACACAATTCAGAAGCCATCTCATGTATAGTTATATGATTTCGGGTGTAGAAAACACTACACTGAAGGGTTTACCTGTAGCTTGTTGTCGAGGTTGGCTACGAACTCGCCGAGCTGGTAGAAGAGGGCGTCCGAGTGTGGCACGTCCTTGAGCAGCTCGCCGGGCACATACTCCAGCAGGCGTACGGCGTGTTGCTGCCCGCCGAGCATTTCCAGCGAGTGCAGCTGTCCGAACACATTGCGCACCGGCACCGGGCATGTCACTGAGCGCCGACCTGCAACAAAGAAACACGACGCCCCTGCATTAACATTTGGCGGGAATTCACTGGTATATCACTTTAAACTACTGGCCACCACTACTATGATATTTGCTATGATTACTTTTGTAGAGACTTTGATTTGGGTATTCAAAAGTATGCCTGATTCAGTTAATAGATAGACTGGAGATTGAGGACTGACTTAAGAAGTTCATAAGCTCGTTCTGCGCCTCGACGACTGCAAGGTTCTTTGAGTCCATGGAGTTCATAATCTTGAGGACGTATCCGTGTGGGCTGTGTCGGAGAATGAGCGGGTTCTTGACGTTGGGGTCCTCGGTGAGGCGGTAGTTGCGGTCGTCATAGCCCGGAAGCTCGGTCAGCTCCTGCACCGAGATGCCGTACAGGCGCTCCGCCAACAGCCGCACTGCTTCCTCGTCGACCTCCGCGCGGATGCGAGCTCCCGGCGCCAGCAATGCGCCACTCGCGCTCGTTGCACTCCCAGCAGACATCACGAATATATCTGCAGAGTGAGAGTGAGAGAGTGAGAGTGAGTCTGTTTGGTCGCGATACTCAACTGTGGCAGTCAGCCTAACAGCGGTCCTAATGATGCTGTCAAAATACTGATTATGAGAGAAGACTGTATTACATAATATATATCATAAGAATATTCAATTTATTTTTATTGGTGCCAGTAAATTGTGTATTACATTTTATTTGTAAGGCGAGTCGTGCGGCGACACACTCTGAATGTTATAATATCATTGTGATATCGTGACAGTTCGTTTACTTCTCACTTAGCGTCGCCTCCGCCGCTGACAGCCGGTACTTCACCTGAGTGCGCCAAAATTATCTACTAGTGACTGACAAATTATATAACTTGAACAAAAAAAAAAACAATATTCAGAAAATACTAAACCTGCGCCTGCGCGTCGTATCTTTGCCTAAATAACGCATCGGTTTATTATTTGTAAATAGCAAGTGATCTATAAATAGAATATTTGTATGTTGCGACGCAAGGCCTTATTAATTGAGTGAGGCGAGCGCAGTGGCGCCCCCAGCGCCGCGCGGCCGTCACATGACTGCTGCCACTACGCTCCGGCGCCGCAACAGACATTACAAACACTAACAAAATCAGTTTACAACACCCCTACAGTATGATGTACTTGAAGTTATCTTCACTACAATAATATTGAAGAATATTCTTTAAATATTTTTTCTGACAAGTAAATATATAAATTGTGTAAGTAATGGTCGTGCTCGGAGTCATTCCGCTCTGTATGTACATTGTTCAGAACAACAATGCGCTCAATAACTTAATGATATATTTATCTGCGGCGACTCGCTGCTCATATATAATATTTACTAGCAGTAACATTATGTATCTATGTATTATGTGTAAAAAAAATGTATAGAAACAATATGTATTGCTAGTTAAAAGACCCGCCTTTTAGACTATTGTTATGTTATTATGTAACATTTGCCATTTTATTTTTGTTAATTGTTCGTAACTTAATGATAAAGTATGTTAGACAATTGTTAGTGTCAAAACTAAAACGTTACCATGGAAACCGGCATTGTTAAGAAAACTTTTATATATGTATATAAAGGGAAATATCAAAGGGATTCAAAACTTAAAAGTCTACGACATTTTCAAGAAGATTCCAAATTGTTGATAACAATATATCCTCTATTAATAAAACAACACATTTTCCTTTCTTATGTCACGTAGATTTTATAGAGCAATGTCGCACGAGGTGCGGGTCACCCACCCACCACTGCTGTGACTGACCAACGCACCCTTATTTAACATCACACATAACTGAAGATCATGAAAGCAAATATTATATCGTATCTCATTATATAAGTTTAACTTACAAGTAAAACTGTTTCTATGAATTCTAGAGACAAAGCATTGCAGTACAACAGAATTTATATCTGATAAAGTTTTATAAAAAAAAATATATAACATACAAAATTTTTAAAATTTCTAAACAAATACAGCCTATCACCGGTATAAATATCCAAGGATACCAATGCAAAAACAATAGCGTAAACAAACAAGCCTCACCGGTATGTGTGCGTGCGTAGTTTAGTATTAAGCTCGTGTTTGCCGGTTCACCTGTCCGCACGTCCGTCCGCGCCGACAGTCACAGCGCGAGTGTCTGTCTACGATCTGTGTGTCGTGTCGCGTCCGCAAACAACAAGCACAACAACACAATGATGTGCGGGGAGCGACCGCTCTGCATCTCACCGAACTGATTGCTGCTTGATAACAGAACTGTCTTATTACATGCGGACGCAATAGACTTACAATGATAGCAACAAAAGTCTATTGCCATCAATCAACGATAGCTGGATTACAATATTTAAGCAGGACCAGTGTTTCACTGACTATTAGTTGTTTGATGTTAAGTTTAATTATTTTTATCTTTTCCAAAATAAAAAGTTGACCTGATTCGCACACACCTATTATCAATTGATGACGTAGACGTGTCTGTCGACATAAAGGTTCTCCGCTACGTGTGGAAGGCATTAATGATAGATGCATAGACACGTAATAGGTATCGGGCAGTGATATTGTCGTGCGCCGCTACTTACTTGTCGCTAGCAATGATGACAGGAGACAGGTGACGACAGGTGACGCGACGACAAGTACAAACAACTACGGAATATTTTTAATTTTTTGTTGTTATTGTTTGAATAGATGAATTAGTCATAAAAAAACAATGTCTTTTAATAATCAACTTAGAGAATAAAAAAAAACAAAATGATGATTTAAATAAGGTCGTACTCGCACTGTATAGGACTAGGTCATAAGTTGTTTCTAATAATTCAGCATTTTACTTCTAATTGTCACAAGGCTTTCAAAATTGGTTGAGAGTATTTGTGTGCACTTTTTCATTTTGGCCTTTTTCATCACAATTCTGTCCTACATTTTGTACATTTCTCGTAAACAAGATCCCCCGCAACAGTTAATGTTGTATTACTTGCTGAGTTGTTTCAGTAAATGTTATTCAATGAATACACGTATTTATTTAACTGTTATCTAGCAAACAGTACGCTGTGCTCTGTAAACATTCTTATCGAACGTCGTCGAGATGCTGTGGATAAAACTCGGAGCTTTGTGATGACCGGGAGAAGAAGTCAGCAGTACAGCATCGGGGTTTGTTGTAAACGGTATTTCAGTTTATCAGTAACATGACGATGATTATCGTCATCTGTTATTTCTGTGTTTGTTTTCTTTTATCTTACTTTGTTTGTTAGGAAATTTTATAAGTAATCAGTCAAGATGTAGCGACAGCCGCGAGATAACTGCCATCGAGGAGGTCACTGACTGCTCGACGCCCCGCGACGCCCCCGCGCTGTCCCCGCGCCGTCCCCGCGCCGTCCCCTCGCCGCACCCGCGCCAAGCCCGAGCTGTACCCGCGCTGTAGCGGCAGTGGTCCACGCAATGTAAACCTACGTTTTTTTTTTGTGACTGAATAGTCACTGTTTGCCTTGTTGTTGTTGTTGAGCGCAGATGGCGCTTAGCCTGAACCTCGTTTAAGAGTAACAAGACTCGAGGGCTCCCTCAGGAGCCTCGGCTCGGGCTGTTACTTCATTATAGTTACCGGGTTGGGAGGTCACCGAGCTCTTAGATCGCTTAGGTGGACGCTCCATGGAGTGACTGGTCTCAAGGGCCGCCGAGAGGGGACCTCGGCTTGGGCTGTGACTCATTACGCGTTTAGCATTCCGATTCAAGGGTGCCCGAGAGGGCCGAACCTCGGCTTGATCGGTTGCTACTATGTGATTGCTACTAATACATCTAACATTACTACCACTTCGGAAAGCGTTATCGCTGGGAGAAGAAGTGGCGGAAGAAACTCCAGCAACGCTTCTATTATTAATAGGAGAAAGTAAACCTACCGTTAACCTGTGTTTGTATGCTAAAATAATAATTATAAAGATCTATCACAAATATGACTTCACAGCGAAGTCTATACAATTAAGAGTAAACTATTTCAAAATCATTTTTCACAATCAGAAGATGTTGTAGTACCTATTCACCCACAGAGGTCGCTAGTAAAGAAGTTTCACAACTTACACTTTTTGATAATAGATGGCGCACCACGTCACATTTCAAAACCATAAGCAGCCAGAAAGTGGCATAATTGTAAAGCGTATGTGATGTTAAAAGAGTCTTAGTATAGTAAAAGCTAGTAGCCAATTAAGTAAGAAAATATATATCGTGCATGCATCATCATAACACTAAACATAATCACTTGCGTTGGATAGAAATAAGTAGAGCAGTGACACGGGACATGCAAATTACTTAAAACGATCGATGTATAAAACATTTTTTGTCTTGTTCAGCCGATTGTAATTAAGTGGACATCCAGTCACTGCCACCGCGGCGGTGTCCGCGCAAAATACCGTACAGAACGGTACAGCGCTGTACCCGAGCGTACGATATACTATGTTACAGAATTGTGTATGCGCTTCTGAATTATTTTTAAGTCCGTCAAGAGGCAGTAGGTGGCGGCGGCGGCGGCGGGGCCGGGCTCAATGTTTTGTCCGGAAACCAACTCAATACCGTTTGAGCAAGAGTACTGTTGTACATGGATGATGCTCCCGCACCAACGTTAACAAGCATTTGATATCAAATAAGCCTAGTGTGTTATTGTTATTAAGTTCAAGGAGACGTTAAATATTTTTTTTCTCATTCTACTCGCACACGGTTTTGATGCCTTTGCTGCTTGACACGAGGACCAAGAACGTGGTTCTGTAATTGCATTCTTACCACATCTAGCACTACGTGATAATAGTGCGGGTGCGCAGTTAAGGTCTGTGCGGGGCTCTCTGTCTCAGCGATCTTCTTGCGATATCCGCTAAGAAGTGGCAGCCGCTGCTCGGGGCGGCGGGACGCGGGGCGCAGGGACGCGGGGCGCCGGGACGCGGGGCGCCGGGACGCGGGGCGCCCGCACTCGGAGACACCGTCATCCACATAGTGTGGAGACAGGACACATTCGTTTGATCGTCGCAAGTTTAATTCGCGTCGTCCTTATCGAGTGCAGCGACCAGCGCGCGAGGTCCCGCGCCGCCCGGGTCGCGCCCGCGCGCGTGTGTCAGCGTATTCTGGACGAGAGTTATACTTTGACAAATCTTGTTTCACGCTTCGCGTACGTTCACAAAGTCTCTTCCAGTTCGCAAGCCTGTATCTGCGGTCAGAACGCTACTGGCTGCTCTATAGTCCTCCTTATCCCCGGGCAGGAGAGACGAGCGCGAGCGTGGGGCTCACCGGCGCGCGTGTCGGCGAGTCCTCAGGCAAAACACTCTCCAGATAGGAATCTCGTTAAAGGAAACGTCTTTTTCAGCTTCCATTGTCTACAATTACTCGGCTTTGTCTGAAGCATCACGCCATCCCTGTCTGCCGCACGGGACGTGACTAGCTCCGTCTCACTCGACCACCTTTGAAAGTCAATTCTGCTATTTCCGCGCGACTCTGTTATTTCAACGTTTTCTTTTTTAATTATCTGTTGTTTTTGTACGGTTTCGATATAAGTATTTCTTAAAGTTCATCCTCCGCGGCCCTCCCCTCCCCTCCATCCCACCCCCTCCCCGAGGTCGCCTATCATGCGAGGAATCAAACATTTATTGGATTACATTGTGATCGTTTAATGTTTGTGTAATTGTATGAATCAGTGCGGTGTAGCTAAAACATGCATGAATGTTGTTTGCAGAAAGATTGTGTTGTCACATTAGTTTACATGAGGACATGTTGCATGGCGTGTTGTACGAGTATCTCGTACCTTAGCAATATTATTGTATTATAGTTTACAATATAGACGCAGCTGATAATTTGTAAGTAAAGGTTTAACTTAAGTTAGATTGAAGCGGCGGCGAGCTGCGAGCGACAGCACCCTCCCCCGCCCCCCCTCACCCGGGGCCGACACCACGCGACCCACAACGCTTTGATAGGGTTGATAATATTTTTTCAATGTGTTAATATTATTCTTCGGACAGCCATCAACCACACCGTCATCGAAAATATACAAGCAGTAACATGTACTGGACAATGTCGAGGGCCTGTACAGCTGCCTGTACAGCTGTACACATCATACCTTGCACTCGCAAATTGTTTCTAGCAGAAAGACAGGAGCGATGGCATTGTGCGAGCAGCGGTGGACATAAATATATGTATGATATATAAGCAGTGATAAGGAAAATAAAGTTGATAAAATTTGTATGATTTGTGTGTAAGGACAGCCCTGTTTGCCAATAGCTGACCTCCCTAAAGCATTTAAAAAGAAATAAAAAAGTAATAAAATACAGAGGCGCGTTGCGGTCGGCAAGGGTTCGGGCGCGGGGGACATTCTCCGCAGAGCACTGACACTATTTGCATTTCTATGATCGAGTTATTTTCTTGAGAAGCAATTGGGACCCCTTTTTTCTCAAATCTGTCTCTGTTGTCCCGCGGCCGCGCGAGATCGCGACCCGCCGCGACCTGCACTCACTGACAGACGGCGGCGGCTGCGAGGGAGCGCTGTCTGCAACATTCCGCTTACAAAATTTACGATGTCATTTAAAGAAACCAAAGGTGAAAATGTGCAGTTTAGGATTTTAGGATGATAATAATTAGTATGAGATTTTTATCATGAGTCGTAGCATTACCAGTGAGGCAGGTCATGGTGACGCAGGATTTCGTGATACAAACTTGAGGATATATTGCGAAGCAGTACTGCAGACCGCCGCACTCCCGCTGCAGACTGCAGGCTGTAGGCTGCAGGCACTCAGGTCCCCAATGACCTGTTGCCCGCGCCGCAGGGCCGCACTCTCGCGCTTTAACACTTTTAATACATCTTATGAGAATAATAGTCGCTGAAATATTAGGAAAACATATTTTTATGTATAACAGTATCGGTATGTTTAGTCGCTCTCGTTTATCTGTATTTGATAAATAAATTACTCACAGAAGGCTTTCTTATACATGTTAGAACTAGACAGTGTTTTGACTTTTGATACACATCTTGAAATTAATCGAAGTTCAAAATCTGGAATGGAAAATACATATATTATCTGAGTCTGAGTGCGGCCCTGTATTGCCACCATGCTAGTATTTTGTTAGTCGGCAGCTTTGTCGCATGTCTCGCATTTTAGTTTTTATTTGCCATCTCTGTCGTTCGTTGAGCGGCTGAGAGAGAGGGCGGCGGTCACGGGACGCGGCGGTGGGCAAACATTTGACCACTCATTGG